GACGTGCGTCCTGCGCGTATCAAACTCCAGTCGTTAAGTACGGGTGCCCCACGTGTACCGGATACCGAAGTTTACAAGTCAATTTATGTGTATTAGTTTCCGCGCCTTATCCCCCGGAATGACGACCGAGTCCTTCGAATGCACGCGACGACGTACGCACTCGATAACGTTTTAACCGAGTTATGGTATTTGGCACACGTTTCGCGAAGGCCGTCGTTATATCGCTGCGCGCCCAAAAGGATAATATTTTGTTTTTCAACTGTTACGCGCAATATACCGTTTAAACCGATACGCGAGAACACGTTATAAGTGTAGCAGTGCACTGGTGGTGTACATCATATACAGTGTTGTGCTCAACTACTTGCAGTTTATTATTGCAATAAATATACTTATATATATATATATATATATATATATATATATATTTAATATATTTTTTGTATATATTTTAGCCAATCGTAATGCAAATCAAGCGCTGGTGATCCACGTGCGTGCATTACAATAATATGTACTGTTCATATGACGGTACAGTATTGCTGGTACACGGTCACGAACATTGATTGCGTTCAGATTTCAAACCGGGCTAGAAGACGTGGACGTTTAAGCACTTGAAGTAATAAATCGTGTTATTATGATACACAAAGACAAAAATAAAAAACTGTGTATTAGTTAACTCGTGCGCACGATAAACGTTGACAGGTTTTTTTTTTAATATTTTCTCCTAATCGCAACAGCTCATCCCGATGTGTTAAAATATCACGAATTAAGAAATATATAAATGTATATAAATATATATACAATTTATGTCACAAATTTCAAAATCTTGAATGAATCCCAATCGTTTTGCTACTGCAGCATTATTAAGACCAGTTTCGCTAGTTATATTAATATTACATAATTTTTTTCTCCTTGAGTCAATATAAAGTTTATCTTGATCAACTATACTGTGATAGTTGTTACATACATGTTTTGATTAAAATATTTTTCGGGTTTTTAGATATAAATTGTACTACGCATTGTACAAAAATTCGGTATTTTTTACGCCAATTATTCTCAAGCACCATTCTATTTTATTTCAAACCTGAACACCCTGTTATCTTTCTTTCATCGTTATTTCTATGCGCTACAATTAGTTTTATTATCAATTGTTGAGCACGTACATATCAACAGGCATTGAAGGACTAGAATAGCAGGTAATCTCGAAACCATTTGACTCATTGAAATATTTTGTATACACTGCGCACAATATGCGGTAAAGGAACGACATTCAGATAGAGAGGTTCATGATAAATAAAAATCCAAAAATGTATAAAAGCCATTTCGAACCGTTTTTCATTCGGCCGTGAGTAAAACCTTTGAATCCAGACAATAACCAATATTCTAAAGAGTACCTGCTGGTACACCTGTAAGGTCGTTCTTAACCTACCGTGAGTAGGTTAAACAGACGTGCTCTTTTTGAATCTGTAAAGTAATTTATTTATATACATACATACTTATACATATATAATATTAAATAAATATACTCTGCGATGTTTGATAAAAGAAAACATAGCTTATGGTAAAATAGGCTTTATTTAAAGTACATACGCTTATTTACAATTTTAATTCTTTCAACTTTAAATGCTAAAATAAATGACTTACTAAACATTGCTTATATTCTTTAACGATTAATATAGTAAAATATTAATATATAACTATTTAATTATTAATATTTTTAATTTAATTTAATTAATTAATTAAACAAACATTAATAATATCACGATATATACTAAAATGTATACACAAAAGCCTAGTTTACTTAACGAAGTACATTTTTAAAAAATATATTGTGTTGCGCATTAAAAATGAAAATATCCAATAATAATACTGAAAAACTTAAATAAAATATATCTGAGATGCATATAGCAAGGATAATTGTATACATGTTTAATATATATAATGTAGCAATAACTGATAAATTATAAAAGACCAAAGAATTTCGTTTCTGAAAAAATATTTTACTGTGGTGTATTTTTGAAAGAATCACAAATCTAGAGATTACATAAAAATCACCCAAGCAACATATCATAACTATATTTCTATTACCCGAGAAAAAAATCCATTGTAAAGACGGATTCCTCGGGGTTGTACTTACAACTGCAGTGCACCTGTGAAGCACGTTTCATATGTATAATAATAATATTGTGTAGGTATACTTTTTCATCGTCATAATACTGTGTAATATACCGATATAATATCATTATGGTACGACGTAGACGTGGGTATGTTTTCGTATATATATACCTCGAAGTATACACTAGTATAAGTATAGTACTATACACTGGGTCGTTATTCTTGGACCTTGTCACGTCCTGTGCACAGCTTCTATCGCATCACAATAGTCGGATGGTGAGGGAATGATGATGATAATAATAATAATAATGGACACAGGAGAAATTAATAGAGAATGCGGTGGCGGCGGTAGTAAGATGGGATGGCACCTAGTATATGATCACCCTATACGACAAGGTACAGGATTATGAACGCGTCCGATTACGTTCTTGCGCCGGTGATCCGTCCGTCTAAGCATGCATGTGTGTGTATGTGTGTGTATGTAAGCTTGGTCCATACTACAACGACGTCTCTCATTAACCCCTGGGCATCACACACGCATACACGCGCGTGGACGTACACACGTATACACGAAGAGGAACACACATATCGTCCATTGAACCCAGGTGCAATAACATTCAACCGCATTATACAGTCGAATATTATTATTATTATTATTATTATTATTCTACGGATCTATAATACAGCGTTGCAGTAGTATTTTTAATCGGATTTTATAACATATTTGGGCTCTCGAAACTATATATATATACCTGCCATGGATCTGGTGTGATTTTAATATGTATATGGAACGATTATGCGACGACTGAATCCCGATAACTATAATCCGTCATGTACAATATCGGTCCTGATGCTCGCGAGAGCTTATATACATCTCTGATTTGTAGCATTACGCTTTATCACTGCAGGTCAGTTATTAAATATTACTGTCACAGTGTATATGCACATAAGGTTATATGTTTCTTCCGATTCTTATATATCCAATTGTTGCTACAGCGATTACGGTAATACGCAACTTAATTATATTTATCCAAAGTCGGATTATCAACGGCGGCGAAATATTTTCACTTTAAAAATATCGCCCATAACATTATATTATACGTATAATACTCACACACTCGCACACACACTCACATTTATATTATAATACAACGTTACAACGAGCGATGGACGAAAATTAATTTCAACGCTGCCAACAAAATTTAAATCGAAATCGAAAATAAAATATATATGCATATGCACACCTATATTACAACATTCTCTTGCGAATGCGGTTCTATAAGTTTTAATTGGATACACATTTATATTATTTATGGCGCATTGATGTAGGTATGATCAATTCCACGGATTTTTATTTCTTATGGGTTTTTGTTGTTTCACCAAATGCCATTTAGTTATATTCTCATGGTTTCAAAATCTATATAGCTGGGATCGGTATACGTTGCAAAACGTTAGAAGTCTAGGGAATGCACAGTGTTTACGGTTAAAAAGTAAAAATACGCACGTCTACCTCGTTTAAGTATATAACCGCAATAGGTTACAATCACTGTATTATTCGTGGTATAGCCGGAGCGAATAATTAATGAACCAATTAATAATAATAAAAAACCTTGCTCAACGCCGTACGATGTGTAAAGGCATTAAATTAGTTTCGACCCCATTTGCAATTAATCGTTTTGTTCTTTGAAAATAAATGTTATTCGCTTTGTCCGCCAACATTGAATATCGTTCGTTTTACAAGAGTGGTAGAAAAATTACGGACCGAAACAAAAGCTCAACATTTACATGCCCCACATACGTATTTGGAACAGATTCGTACACTTGTCGAAGGATCAATACTATATTATGTATGTGGTAATAAACAATTATAAACTACTCACGTTTTGTTTCAAGCGTGTACGACCGCACAACGGACTAATATTTTATTTTTTTCGTTTTCAAACATCAGTGTAGCGTGTGTAAGACTAATGGAACATAAAACACAGAACTCGGTGCATCGGACGTAGTACAATAATAATAATGATAATATTTACACTCGAATCGCCACACGAAAGCGAACGGCGGCGAGCGTTCATATATTACTATACTCCAATTCGCCGTTTAATACTCGATACGCATTCCAGGAACCGAAGTAGAAAAATGCATTCCAATTCTCCTTGGCAACCCCCTTTGAGCAACTCTATGTACACTACCATTAATCACGATAACCGATGGTTATGAACAATATTCGGTTTAGTGCATAGAAAACCCATACAACATTCCGAAACGTTATGATAGTACCTTATAAAACATTGGTTCACATAATAACAATAGCTTGTTTTTAAGACGAATCGTATTTGTTTATTGACGATTTACGCGTCGGTGCTGGAGGATAAAACGTCATAGTCAATGCGCGGATTGCAGTTGCCAAATAACAAGCGGGGTTAATTACATATGTAATACACATACGACAACACGTTAATGCCTTTACCGGCGCCTAAAACGCATAATACATATCCTAATTATTAGGTATCTCGAGAACACATTTTTCACATTTTTCAACTTTCTCTCAAGTTTTAGATGCAAAACACGATTTAGTTGTGTATACATTTCGACACACATAGCAATAGTTGTACGTACGACCAGTGGCGTACATTCAATGTTTAAGAGGGGGTTAAATTGTAAACATGATTTTTATGTCAACATAAAACGTTTATTTTATAACTGCTTGGACGAAAAATTTATGTTTTTGTGATTCCATTATAATTGATAAGCACTTCATTTTAACCATTTCAAAAATGAATTTTATTTATAACCCTTGTGGGAGGTTTTATATTTATTCCCCTCCTCCTATTGGTACACTACTGCGTATGCCAGTAAAATATTGCGTAATAATACATTTAACTTACAGTAAAATCGGGAACAATTCAGTAGTTTCGTTGTTTTGGGGTGGTCTGCAAATTTTTCCTTGTCCTAGAAAAATAAAAATAATCAATTAATGATTCGACGTAGAAAAACAATTTTGTTGCCCTTGGCCATTATAGAAACGTCATAAGATATGATCGTTATGAATTCTACTTGACCACATACACAAATCGACTCCAAGTCCAACCCTCTCGTTAATAGCCGATTGAGTAGTACGTTCACATTTTAATACCTACGACATTGATCATTGATATTATGATAAGAGTTGTACGACATGCATTGTATAATATATTATGTACACAATTTAAATATATAAGTATGTATGTTGTCGATTACACATTTATAGACGATTTGTGAAAGGAGTATTATAAAAGTATTACATGTACACAAACGCGGATATAAATTATGCATGCGGCACAAAATAAACAGGTTTCACAAGTTATAACGACATACAAATATATTTATACTTTAAGTCGATTATTAATAAAGCACTACTGCTGATTTCCAGGCATACTTTCAATTTTATCACAAACTCTGGCCTTAAGAAAATCGCTTAACAATTTTTCTGTAATATGCAACATATCGAATTCACCACTCGTCACACTACATTCCTATAAAACATCAAATCCAGATAATAATTGCACCAAGGAACTTTTATTAACAGAATAATTGACAGTATATTACATACCATTACGACCAATAATAATATTAACAAATCAAATATTACAAAAAGAAAAATAGTTATAATGCTAAAATAAATTATATAATACAATTATACCAATAATATATTACATTATTAATATAATTTTATTATAATTAATACGATTCAGTATCTACGCCTACGAATACAAAAATTATGTATTACTAAAAGTACTACAACAATGGCTTTTTATTTATTGAATAGTTATAATGATTCACGTTGCAAGAAATAAAGCGAACATACGTTTTACGATCGAAACAATATGTCAAAACGGATCATTTTCCAATACATACCGAAGCGAATACCCAATACATATTTTCGCCGTCATTTTTGTGAACATAACTATTATTTTGCATTTTTATTTCTTTATTCTCGTGTAAGAATTTCACGAATAGGTCATTTTCTGCAACATTTTGGACGAATAATACGAATCAAATTGCACACGCGCATGTACACACACATATACATACATATCCTGTATTTCTTTCAGAAAACGCGCAGTCAACAGTTTTTCTAGTATATAGTATTTGTCGTGCGATACCCACCCTACAATGCAGCTCGGCTTTACTTTCACGTACAATATATTATATATACGTACAATATAATAGGGTTCAATTTCGTATTTTTCTTTGTGTTTGAGTTTTTAATTTGTTCTTTTCGTTCAGTTTTTGTTGGAATTTCGGCATACATTGATAAGTACAAACAAATATTAAAAAGAACTTAGTTTGTCTAAATCATACTTTAAAAATAAAATAATAAAATTAAAAAATTAAATAGGTACGAAGTAAAAAAAAATCGTCTTATTTATTTGATTAATACTTGGGACAAAATGATAATTTTTTATACAAAAAAAACTCTTGCCATGGATGAAAATTTAAATCTATTGAACACAATATTATATAAAACCACGCATGTATGGAAATAAAATTTATAATCCTTCAATCCTTCCTAACTCACGGATATTGTGGATGATGCTTATAAGTATGGTCCAACGGTTCGGTATTTTTAATTCCTCTTAAAATAATATTATGCCCAATTAAAATAACTTTTTTTTCAATATTCGGCATATCATGCCGAACATGAAAAAAAATCGAAAGCCTGAAACATCTTAAACATCGCGTATAAGAAAAAAAGATTATCTGTTTGAAACATTTAAAATTTAGACATTATACATGTTATACATTATATATATATATTATACTCTCATTTTAAATATTTCGCTGCAACGGGAAATGTTTTTAAAGTATACATCATATTTTTGTTACGCAAAGAGATAGTTTTTAATGAACGTCGTTTGCGCCTTTCATTAAAAACTATCTCTCAAAATCGCACGTGAATACATTAAAATATGTGATGAGTAGATATTATTATTTTAATTATAATTATTCCTATATTATAGTATTGTACTATCATCTCAAGTCAAGTTTAACACAATATGTAAGCGCGTTTATCCTTGAAACTATTATGTCCATGGCTTACACGCGCGGCCGAGGGAATACGTTTTCAATGATTGTCGTGCGAACGGCAGCGGTGGCGGCATGTTATTAATTATTATTACGAGAAAACAGTTTGAGTCGATAGATGAGTAAACGGGAATAGGAAAAGAATAACTAGTGAAAAATATAATGATAATTATAATAGCGTTAATTCTACCACGCTTGTATAGTACACGTACCAAACTGTACATACATTATAATAATAATAATAATAATAATAATAATAATAATAAAAAAAAACGTAAGTTCTCGTGTGCGCCACGTATTTTTATATCATCATTATTATAATACGGTAACAGCGTTGAGCTCGTCCGTAAGGTAATTATATGATTACTACACGCGAACATTGAGAAAGAGATGGTATTCCGCGGCGCTCGGTGGGCGTAAATAATGTATAATATTATCATGTATACTTGGCGCTCAAGATAGAGAGAGAGAGAGAGAGAGAGAAAGAAAGAGAAACCAAACGCCCTTGAACTTGGCCGGACGTATCATTGCCATCGAATTTTTCCCATGGCCCATCCCTGTACGCACATGTAATGTACATAATGACACTGAGAAGAGTGAATTTTTTTTTAACGATACTCTCGAAATGTTTGGTTTTTAATCGATCGATTCGGTTATACTAGGTATCAGGTTGCAGGTAAACGGTATTATACGTTTTATACAGAATGTACTACAATGCGCCAATTTTTTTTTCCATATGCGGTAAACCCGTTACGTTTTCATGATCCACCTTAAAAATATTTTAGTACGGTAAACATGTATACTTATTTTGCCAATACTATAATACTATAATCTTTTCGGCCGTATTAGAACGACGTTTTTAAATATAACGCTAAATTTAATATAATATAGAAGCGCGGCGATCACAGTATTGATATGCGTGAAGCCCGGTTTTCAGACGTACTCCTTATGTCGTCATCGATACCGCTACAGCAGTGATCTATAATTGCGGTACATTATTATTTCATTTTTTTATTTTTTATTTTTTTATTATTATTTTTATATAGCGCGGGATTATATTATTAGTCATCCAATTTTTATTAAATCGTGATGACAAGAGTTTAATTTAATATCTCCAGGGAGGTTAGGTTAGGTCTAACCGTCTAACCGACACGACATCATCTTCCAACGATAAACGTACACACGGTACGGGTGTGTATATATATATATATATATATATATATATATATATATATATATATATAATGTTTACACAAGGACCTATGTGAATATTGAACAATAAAACCGTCAATAATTATCGTCATCAAGACGCATCACAACTGGCTGCGGTAATGGTGCGTATACGTTTTATTATTGTGCAAGCGACGTGCACGTCCGTATAAAAGACCAATAATATTCTTGACACTCATCGGATCACTGACCGCGTGCTGTTATTATCGTTATTGTTGCTTATGTAAATTGCTTTGCTAATATCACGTATAATGCGGTAAGCGAACGATTATATATTCGTCTGGCAGCCCACTCCAAGAACGAGGAATCCAATAGGTACACTGCTACACAGTGCAAGGAACGAGGTGCGCATGAACAAAGGCGTACTACAATCGTTCTGGTGATTAAACGTGATTAACGTCGTAACGAACGTTGTCATTAAAAAGGTTATACCTGGTAAGGAGGAAGGGACGGAGTAAAAATGTTGTACACAACACAATCCTTTTAACATGTTTAAAATAAACTCGGAGGATTTTAGCGAGAGTGCTGTTGACTTTTTGTGGAAAACGTATATTATAAATACGAACAGACAAGGACAAAAAAATGAAAAAATAAATGAAAAATAAAAATAAAAAAAGAATACGTACATGCACACCCGTTTTGAGACGCGTCTATTACGATGAAATCAGTTCGATCCCGTAATATATTTGAATAACAATAGTAATATTACAATCTGGTTATGCGCCATGAGGACTGAACGAACGAAATGAAAAAGTTTTTAAAAAAATAGCGTCGCCGGGTGCACCGCAGTGGAAACAATCGGTGCGTAAGTCGGGTTTTGTAATAGGTTCTCAAAATGTCAATTCACGTTTTCCGACGACTTTTTCTAACCGTCGAAAGAGACCTCGCAGAGGGATATGTACATATGAACAGGATGATTGTTTTCTTAACGATTAAGGGGTATACACATGCACAGGTAAACAAATATACATATAATATAACATTTACGTGTGTGTGTATGTGAGCACACGACGTGCATTCCGGTACACATAGGTGTTTCGTAAAACCGATGACATAATCGTACGAATCGGGGACGAAAATTGAAATGTCGGAAAACAAACACAAAAGGGGTAAAAGCAAAAGGAAACGGTTTTTCTTCGCTTATTAACGATGGTATCGTCTCGTAGAGGTGTGTCGTTTTTACATAACAATAATACACAAGCGCGCGCACGGCGTACGCGAACAAACTCGCAGTGCTAGACGACGGTCGTGTTTGCCTTGTGGACGGTCAACATCTTTAAATGCCCATGCACCTCGGGTCATACGTACCATCAGGTATGTGGTATACGGCGTAAGGGCGGGAGAGGGGGACCGTGCGGGGAGTCACGAAATCTTCCGGGGAACGGAGGCGGCGTACGTACGGGACTGCGGGTCTCTTCGGAGCTATGTATAATACAGGTATACGAATATCGCATAGAAGGAGGGCATGATCGGGCGCGCGCATTCCTCATTAACAATTAATGTGTACAGGTGCTCGGAGAGTGATGTATATAGTAGTGGTGTTACACAGTCAGTTTATTCTTCTCTTACCGTATCTTTCCATTTTTTTTTTTTTTTTTCATTCTTTCCTTTCCCGTCTTAATTCCTAGGCGACGATGACGACGGTGGTATCCGTC